CGACGAATTCGCATTGCAATCTATTTTTTTAGATCGCTAATGCGACCACATTGCCATGGTTAGATAGGGCGAAAATCGCATTGCGATGATCGGTAAGCGTTTCGCTTACCGATCTTCGCATTGCGATGTTCCTAGAACAGCTGATCGGTGGTTCCAAAATGGCCACCACGTGTTTTCGTGCCCTGCCCTCACTTACCAAGGGCGCGAAAATGGCGGCGCTATGGAGGAACTTCGCTCAACGGTGAGTTTGGGCCCCATAGGAATGCATTAAACCAAGTTTAATGCGTTCCTATGGGTTTTTTTGATCTGTTTAGCGATGTTTCCTCATAGCGACGATTAATCCAGAACGGATTAACGTCGCTATGTGGGGCACCACTGTACCTAATTTGAAAGCTAGAACTTGACTCAGCAAAAAACACTCAAAACTGGTTTGATTGTGAGTGTGTAGTAACAAAGAGGGGACGTGGTGGCTCTGTGGGTTAAACCGCAGAAGTCTATGTGCTGCTAGGTCAAAAGACCAGGAGTCGTAAGATCGAATCCATGCGACAGAGTGAGCTCCCGCCGCTTGTCCCAGCTCCTTGCAACCTAGCAGTTCGAAACCCTCACTTACCAAGGGCACGAAAATGGCAGCGCTATGGAGGAACTTCGCTCAACGGTGAGTTTGGGCCCCATAGGAATGCATTAAACCAAGTTTAATGCGTTCCTATGGGTTTTTTTGATCTGTTTAGCGATGTTTCCTCATAGCGACGATTAATCCAGAACGGATTAACGTCGCTATGTGGGGCACCACTGTACCTAATTTGAAAGCTAGAACTTGACTCAGCAAAAAACACTCAAAACTGGTTTGATTGTGAGGGTGTAGTAACAAAGAGGGGACGTGGTGGCTCTGTGGGTTAAACCGCAGAAGTCTATGTGCTGCAAGGTCAAAAGACCAGGAGTCGTAAGATCGAATCCATGCGACAGAGTGAGCTCCCGCCGCTTGTCCCAGCTCCTTGCAACCTAGCAGTTCGAAAGCATGTAAATGTGAGTAGATAAATAGGTACCACCTCGGTGGGAAGGAAACAGCATTCTGTGTCTAGTCGTGCTGGCCACATGACCATGGAAACTGTCTATGGACAAAACACTGGCTCTATGGCTTGGAAACGGGGATGAGCACCGCGTCCTGGAGCCGGACACGACTGGACTAAATGTCAAGAGGAACCTTTACCTTTACCTAGTAGCAAAGAAAGAGTTAGCAACCCGATTTAAATAGTATAAGGGTAGCAATGTCAGGGCAACCCCTCCTGTATTTCCAGTCCAGAGACACCATACAAGGCACTAACAAGAAAAAGAGAGAGAAAGGCACTAAAGAAAACCTGATCACAGTTCATCCAAGAACAAATTATTCTCCGTTTTTCTACTGAATCATAGCAGGCATTTTTGGGTCAGAAGCTCCAAGGATGTTGTGTCATATCTCTGCTGTCCCTTGAGAGTATTACTTTGACACATTATATATCTGTGAATATATCCTCATGAACTCGTTGTCAAATATGTTTCCTTCTGCTTGGATTAATCTGCAACCAATTTTCAAAGGTCACAACCTCTTGTAATGAAATGCAGCTTTCTGCTGGAGGTTGCCCTGAATTGTCTACAGGCTTAATTTTTATAAGACAAATGAAATCCAAAGTTAAAGGAGATTAAGGTTATTTAATTAAACATCTGCCATCAGATCAAAGTTGGATGTTAATGTATGAGTCAATCTGCTATTTTACAATGAGGAAATGGGAATCAAATTCCATGCCATTCAGTGCTAAGCAAGGATTCCTTGGATTACATGAGAATGTGTAAACGTGTTTTTTTTTAAAAAAAGCAAATCCTACTATATTAAACAATACAATTAAAATGTAGTTCTAGTCATTTTTAAATATTATGCTATTTGCAGAATGGAAATATTGCCCCTCCCACCATTTATGAACTCTCTAAAAAAAATTAGAAAATTTATTATCTTTCCAAAATAGCACATTCCCTCTTTCTTCTCTTTAAAGTGTTTACTTGTTTTTGAATTATCATACCTTCCATTCTATAACTGCCCATTGCTTCTAGAGGAGGGAAAAAATATTTTTTTATCCAGAAATACAAAAAAAATAAGGTTTCTTTCTGGATTTCATGCCAGCTAAGCAGGATATTAGCCATTCAGTGTAGTATTAATAATTTTGTACCATCAAGTCATTTCCCACTTACAGCAACCTTTCTCAGGCTCTTCTAGGTATAAAATACTAAGAAGTAGTTTAGATTCCCTTTTCCTGGGGCCACTCTTGGAGTGTGCTGCTTGCCCAAGGCCACACATACTGGGTGTTCTCCAGGAGGCACAAAGAGGAACTGATCTACCAACCCCAGGCTCTGCAGTCAGGGGTTCTAGTTCCCCTGAGTCAGTTTATTGTAGTAAAACCAGTGCTAAAATATTACAAAGCACACAAAGGAGTGGAAAGATGATGGGAGAAAACTAGACGAAAAGGTGAGATTGACTAATCACAGGTCTCTAATATAGACATGTCTTTATTTCCATCTATATTGGTGCAAATTTTAATTACTACTGGCCTGTAAATACTGTACTATATTGGATTGTAAATGCTACAGATATACAATATACTACCAGATGGAGTAGTCTACCTAGATTTGCAGCAGATGACTGAAGCAATGGCACTGTAAAGCCAGCTATGCATATATTCTCGAACAACCACAGAATTACACAAAATTGTTGCACAAATATTCTGAGTACGTATTGAGGATGTGTGCTGATTTTTAGATATGGAGGGGTATCTTTGTGTATCTAATGTGTTCAGAATACTATGACACCCCATTACAAAATGTGTAAGCTCCAGATCCCGAAAGACAATGTTGTATTCCCAAAAGTCATATTAAGGTGGCATATTGTTAAGCATTTTGCAAAGGAAAGTCATTAAGGTGGCATATTGTTAAGCAATTTGCAAAGGAAAGTTACAAGGAAGCAATTGCTTCAAAAATCCATACATATGTTCGTTTTGCAAACTACTATTCTACTTTGTTATCTGGGACAGCCACATCTTCTCTTTCCTGCTGTGGAGCAGATAGGACTGGACAAACACTTGTTCATTTGGACACTCTGAGACAACACCCACAAGGATCAATTATCAAATACAGTTGTACAGAAAAAACGATGAATATCATAAACACATAACCATAAAAATACCACATTTTATAGCATGCATGTGGGTCCATACAAGCACAGGCAGCTCAATGTATTTTTGAGAACAGACATACGTATAATCCCATATATAGGGCAACTGTGAATGTATTTCAACCATTTTAAGTGTTCTTTAATTGACAACCACCTGGTAATTTTCAACACACCTGGAGAGGAGTGAATAGTCCCGGTCCCTTCCCTCACTGTCATCACTCTCTCCATAAGAAGAGTGAGAAGAGACATTCTTACTCAAGTAAGGACACTGAGCAAAAGCCCTAGAAAACTGGGCTTTTTCGTAGGCTGGACACTAAGCAAAAGCCCTAGAAAACTGGGCTTTTTCCTCACTTGGAGAATTTGTGTATGAACAATGACTTCTTGTTTTTGGAAACCTCCCTCTCCACATGAAGGAAGGAGAGAGAGAGAGGGAGAGGGAGAGGGAGAGGGAGAGAGAGGGAAGGCCCAGTTAAACCGGATAGGTAATGACCAAATAAAGCATTAGTCTTCATCAGTGATATTCTGTAATTGAAGACTAACTTGTATATTTTGTAATGTGAGCTTTTATGGACAACTCCACTTTATCAGATATAAGAAAAGCAAGTATAACATGCAAATAATTATGCATGGCATCAGGGTTGTGGCTGGTTAGTCAGTGGATGTAAAACATTATGATGATAATGTCTTTGATATGCAGATCTTTACTAAAAGGTAGTGCTGTAAAGAATGTGAGAACCTTTGTCATAGATTAACAATGTTAATACAACAAAATAATGGTAAGATAATGATAACAATGATGTTAATCAGATGAGCTGTTTACAGTCTTTGATGAAATTTCCCCCCACTTTTCTGTAATCAGTTGTAAAGTGTGTGAATTACCCCAGAAACTGATGACGAGGAGAGCAGAGTAGAATCTGTGCTTTCTTAGAAATTTCAAAGGTGGATCTGTTAAGGGAGGGCATATCTGGGAGATGTAGTACAGTACAATATTTGTAGTGTTTACATCTGGTAGTGCCCCAAAAAGCTTTGGCGTATATTAAATCCTTTGATATGTGTGTCTAGCATACGTATATATTTTATCCCAGCTGTTTCTCTCTGGATTCTTATCTTGCATATTTTTTTCTCTAGGATGGCCATTTACAAATTGTTCACAAAATGTCCTGGTAAATTAAAATGGTGTGAAACAGGTTCCTCTGCATTGCCGTTCCTGATGTCTGATTTATGTCCATTGATTCAATTGTCTAGAGATTATCTTGTTTGTTATTTATTCTGTATGTTTATGGAAACTTTGAGCAGGAGGTTGGATTCACTGGCCCTTTCCAACTTCATTACTCTATAAAAACACTACCCTGATTTTAACCCAAACCTGTGAAACAAAGGTCCCTGTCCTAATTATATCAGGACAAAAAAGTAACAAGCAATTTAAATCTCTGTAGTCAGTCTACAATCGGTTATCACAATGGGCTCAGAAATCAAGGGAAGCTGGCAGGCAACTTAAAATGATTAAAATATGACCTGCTTATGAGTTTTCCCCAGTCATATAGCTTGTCACTGCTGGAATGCAAGCACTGCTGGACAAGTTGGAACTTGGTCTGATGCAAACAGTTTTTCAGGATCAAGACACCTTTAAAAACAAGACTATTACTTTGGCCTTCTCCTCATACAAATATAAGCAGACTCTATAATTATCTTCCTGTAGGATAATTATCCAGAGGTCTAAATGTGTGGAGGTAGGGATATGTTTTCAATAACCAAAAAAAAAGGGGAAAAAAGAATTAAAAAATAAATTTCAACGCAAACTTACTGCTGTGGACCGAATTTCTTTGGCGTAGAGAGGTTTCAAGAATTCTGAATCTCCTTCTAGTTTCAAACCTTTTTCTGTGATCCTTAGATTCCCCATTCCATCCTGAAATATACAAAAGACTCCCATTAGCTATGTTTTCATAAATACTAAGCTGTCAAAAATTTATTTCTTGGAAAAGAACACTGTGTAAAACACTGGGAGGCATGGCACAATGCAAGCATCCTTTTGGCTTAGTCTTTGTGAGAAAATTGTATTTCAAGCCATCTGATATGCCCCCCAGTAAGCCATTTATTCAGGTGAAAGATGCCCTTTAGCTTGTCATCTGAGAGAAAGGGAGGTGAGAAAAAGAAAGATAATAGGATGGCATTTAATGTTAACACAAAGCCATTCATTGCAACATGCCCAGCTTTCCACATTTATATTGACAAGCCTTCATTCAGAACACACACAAAAGGAATCCACCTCACAAAAATACTTTCCAAATGGGCACCATGCTTGTTTATGTACCTGTAAAGAAGCTTAAGCACGCTGCAATCTGAATTATGTTGTCTCAGGCCACATTTGAACACTTTTATCTTAAATAGTATCAGCAATTTTCAAGAACAAACAACCCTTTAAAAATGCACTGATATATTTTTTAAAAGAACACCTAGAACTCCACATATCCACCATACCCACTATGGTGCAGTAGATAGAGTAGCAGACCAGGTCACAGAGGTCCTGGGTTCAAATACCCCTCAGCCATGGAAGCTCATTGGGGAAGTGCGACTAGTAAAACCACTACATCAATATCTCATTTATTTTTAAAGCTCTATTAGGGTATCTGTGAAGATTCTCAATTATCCAGGTGTGGTTATTTGGAAACTGAGTCATGGCAACTGGACTTCTTTCTTGTTAGGTTGAAATGTTTCGCTACTCATCCAAGTAACTTCTATAGTCTATTAGGGTCACTATAAGTCGGTTCCACCTTGACAGCACATAACAACAACAAAGAATTCCAAACCAAATCAGAGTGATTTTTGTTGCTGTTTTTCAAATGCTGAAAAGCAGTTTGCCAGAATGCATAAATAATTTTATAACCCTGTCCTTCCCATACATCCTTTTTATTTAGCCAAACAATAATGTAGATGTACAGTATATAGCAAGTAGACAAGCCTTTGTTGCTATAATTTGCCTTTAATGCAAAATGTCTCTTGTTACAACATGCATACTAGTCTGGTTGGAGATGCATTTAGCAATTAGTTTTTCTCCCTCTTTTCTCTTCTGTAAGAGACTCACATTGTTTATTCCTTGTATATTCACCTTTTTTTTTACCATTCTCATATCAGAATTTTCATTTCTGTATACCAAGTAAAGTCCTTTCCACTCTAAGTTTGTTTATGGTGAAAATAAAAGAGAGATATAGAAGGAAAGCTTTTAATTTCGTATTCCCCCAGCCATAAACAGTCACTGATGGGGAACAAATGCTGAGAAAAAGAAGGGGAGATCCATGATAGTGATGTATTTATGGTTGACCCAGGAGTTCTGTTTGGGCATTCCCTTCATGTGATTGAACAGTTGTTGCTTTTCAAAGTTTCGAAGACCACTATTGTGGTCGTGAAAATTTTGGCTAGTCTACAACTTACAATCAGTACATTTTAGCAGAAATGTGTGCTTCTTCCAGGACTACAGAACCACAGAGTCATTTTTTTCAGCATTAATGTTTCCCTCACCACAATACTTCAAAAAGGAAGGAAGGAAAGAAACAGATATTTGTTGTCTCTTCTGCATAGACGACTGTTCTACTCTCCCACTGTAATGCTGTACACTGGGTCTTTGCTCTATGATGGACAAACATGGCATTGATTTCCCAAGATAAGTAAGTAAGTAAGTAAACAAATAAGTAAGTAAATGAATGAATGAATGAACGAATGAATGAATGAATGAAGGATACCTTGTTTTGTCATCTTCTGACTCTCAAATGCCAAGGGTTTATTGTGCTGCCCTGGGAAAGATATAGACTGGGTTGCTTTAAAAAAAAAAACAGGGGCACCTGAAGCTTATGAAATAAAGCATTGGCTTGTGTCCAATCACCTATAAATAACCTCTACCATCAGAAACAGTGTGCTCCACAATACAAGAAAACCTAAGTAGGGCATGAACACCTGAACATCAGTGGGAAGGTGTTGTCACATGCATGATTTCCCATAGAGCTCAGGCTGAGGGATAGAATGCTGGGCCCCAGAAGCCTTTGCTCTAATCCAACTTGGCTTTTTAAATGTTCTTAAGGAGTTTCTTTGTGTTTCCTCAGATCTGTTACCACAAACTGTCAGGGGAAAAAAAAGACTGGTATGCTTCTCGTTGCTTTGTAACCTGGAGGCAGGGGGGAAGAAAGCAAATTAGCCTCCTTTCTTTTCTTTTATGAGAAAAAAAACCACACAATTACAGACTTATTTGCTCTACACACTCTACTGTAGCAGGAGATAGGAAGGAAATAAATACATTGCCTTTTCTTTGTTTCATTTCACATCAGTGAGTGACAACAGAGTGGGGAGAGGAAAATCCCTATCTGGGACCCTCCAAAATGGCAATTTTACTGGGCCTTGTATACCAAAACATTGTTCATGTAGAAATAATGTAAAGTTAACACCCATGTACATAAATGTGAATTGCAATTCAATTTCACAATTTTCTGCACCATTTTGCAATTTGCCAGCAGAAGTCCTTTGTGGATAGCTCACTTACCTTGGCATAGTTGTAAATTCTATGGGTGTTAACTTGATGTTTTGTGTGCAGAGTTGCACAATATGATTTTCCCCAGTATGTTACAGACTGCACAAGCATTATTTTTTCCAGTTTCATTGACAGACCTGCTTCTTTCAGTGAGAGTTCACTGTTGGATCCCGATACTTCTTTCAAGATAGTCAAATTTGTCATTTGCGGTCCAGGAGGCTCCTACTGTCCCTATATTAATATTATCAGACTACCAGGGATAATATTTCAAATAGCTGCAGTATGCATCTGTAGCGCTTCATCTTTTGCTATTCAGATTTTTTTTTGTCTTTACTCCCCCTCTTCATAGCTTTCCAGCCTATTGCCACAGGCTTCTACTCTCCTGGCTTACTCAGTTAATGTGTCCCTACTTAGATCTGAAAAATATTTGTGGCAAATAATATAACATACTGGCTGGAGGCTTCCACCAAAGAGCTGCAAATTGATTCCAGAAACAACACATTTGACAAAATACACAGGCAAACAAGTCAGATGCAATTCCTTTCTTATAGTCTGCTACACACACACCCCACACCCAGAGCAAACCTAAAATCACTTTTACCTGGGGAGAGAGGTACTGTTCTAAAGAAGGTATCTTCAGGTTCATTCACATACACTGAAAATATGCTTAAATAAATATGTATGCAAGGGCAAAGAGTAAAAGCACTCTCAGCTAATGCACAGGCATTGGAAATACCATTTCTGATAGCATAATTTTAAAGTTAGCAAGAAGGAAGCCTAACAGATTTATCTGCTGACATAAAGCTAAAGTGAGCAATTCCTGAAGTTGCTGAATCAAGAAAAGAAACCACAAGCCATTTTTAAAAAGGTTAGTATTGGCCACTGCATATTCCAGCCTTAGATCCTGAATTTTGAATAAGATGTTCTTTTTCTTTACATAGTTATTAAATAGCTCCAGCTGCTATCATGAAAGATGATATTGTGAAGCGATTCCATTCTTCCCTTCCTAACATGTTTTCTATGGTAAGGAAAACAATGGAAGCAGACAGGACAGAAGAGCTACACGGGGGAGATGGCATTGTCTGGATCCCCTGTAAAATTTTTATGCATGAGGGATGGTGGTTATATAAAAAGAGACTCAACTGCAAGCACTCTGATCCATTTCATGCAGCTCTTTCTTTCTGTAATTCCTTCTCCTGCATTCCCCAAAAGATCTTCAGAAATACCAAAGAAATAAAAGTATTCCCATTGGTGATGTAGAATATTTGCTAAATTACTAGTTCTTTTCAATTTAGACTGCTTTGTATTGACATCTCAAAAAGGAAGCTGAGGTGACAAGACAGCTCAAAGAGGAATTTTCACAACTTTTGAGATTCTTCATCTTCAAATTAGAGAAGGTCATGAAGGTCCCTATATATTTGCACAATTTGCCTCTGCACAAAACTAGGGTCCTTTCCCTTGGAGAAACAAAGCGAGCGCACATAAAACATGCCCACAAGATGACTGGTTCATTGTGAAAGACAGAAACAATTCGTCCAAGGTACCTAATCCTTCAAAGGTCAACACAACAAAATAGCCACCATCATTGTCATTTTGTGCAAGCTGTATTATTTGCATTGAAATATTACTTGCAAGAAAATATTACCTTCCATAATTTACCCCCACAAACACACACCTTCCTATTCTCTCCTATTATCAAGAGAATAAAAAAAAATGTCCCATGGCCTACAAAAATAATTTTGTAGTTCTTTGTCCACCTGTGCAAGTAAAGGATGAGCAAGGATTCACATTTCTAATACACAGTCAGGACAAAATAGTATTAGAAATTTATAACAGAATGAATAGGAACTGACCAAAACAGGCAATCTAAAAGCCTTGCAAGTATGATGGAGGACTGGATCAATGAAATACAAATCAACACACTTTGTCTTGAATAAAATAACTACTATGATTGAAGAGGAAATGTATGGACTATTAGAAAAAGATACGAAGAATGCCTTAATTTGTGGAATGGATTGATGAGATGTTCCTGCCAATCTGTAGTTCCTCCATTTGATGTGCTAGCCTTGCTATTACTCAGAGGCTTCCATATTGCAGAACTCTAAAGATAAAGGTAAAGGTTCCCCTTGACATTTTTAGTCCAGTTGTGTCCGTCTCTAGGGGGCAGTGCTCATCCTGTTTTCAAGCCGTAGAGCCAGCGCTTGTCCGAAGACAGTTTCCGTTGTCACATGGCCAGCGTGACTAGGGAACACCATTTTACCTTCCCACCAAGGTGGTACCTATTTATCTACTCGCATTTGCATGCTTTCTAACTGCTAGGTTGGCGAGGAGCTGGGACAAAGCGACGGGAGCTCACTCCATCACGTGGATTCGATCTTACGACTGCTGGT